ATAAGTTGGTCGCTTAAGAATTTCTTAAACAGATTTCATTTTTCTTAAGATCCGCAATTTGATGACAGCTTCACTGGATGTTCTGAGATTAAAAAGCAACGGTTAGAAGAATTCTTAATGTATGTAGAGGAATAACTTCTACATGGCAAACGTAAATTTACAATACATTACTCCTCATTACGATGAATGTACAGGAAAACAAAGCCATTTGAAATCAAATTGTACCGTAGGCGCCGAAGGAGAAATGTTCAGCAGAGAGGCAAGACCAATACCGAACATAAATTATTCTGACTGTTAATACATGAAAATAATACATGTGAACTGCGGATAAGAAGTGAATTCGCAGTAATGAACAATACTCAAGTAATACTGAAAATAAAGCTGTCGTTAAACGTTCATAACTAAAGACTTTGTTCTCCACACATCGGTTGAAAACTTAAACAAATCATCATTCTACAAACACTGTAGCACTGCGAAGTACTTTGCGATCAAAAATGTTGCTTTTAAAATAATTCAGTAGTCTTGGATCGAAAAAATTGGAAACTAACCAGACACCTCCGCTAGAAGGAAAACGACAAGAATTTCAAAGTTTTGCCGTCTGCCGTCCGCTGTCTGCTGTCTGCCGTGATTATCAAGTGTTTTGTAAATTCGATTGATAGATAAGTCAAAAAAGAAACATACTAAAGGACATGGCCATGGAATTATGGTCGTTTACTATAAGATAGCCCAAAATACTGATCTATTGTAAGAAAGGCTGGAGAGGGAAATCACCATATCAATTCAGATTTGTTTACTTGCTACTGAGATCGTCAACGCCGCAACAAACTACTTTGCTTATGTAAAAGGTTTTTTCTGTCTCCTCGAGGAAAAATGTACGATTCAATTTTCCTTTTACTTAAGGTGTTTTCACGAAGAACTATAGGAAGTATACATACAATCACTGAGACACGCAGTGATTAAAAGCATACCCGCCTGCTTGAGGTAAACCGATTTGTTTTCTTTGTAATTTACTTTAAATGTTGACTCGGAAGAAGTCTTCGACGTGACTGAAGTCGGGGGCTCACGGAAAATTGAATGCTATTACGAGAAATGCTAACGCAAAAGCAAGATATAGCAATTTAAGTGTTTTGGGCGGCTAATAAAGAAACCAAATGATACCACAACATTTCTCTCCAAAACATGTTTGAGATGTTTATTATCAATAGCTGCAGACCTAGATGAAGAGTCATAACAAAATTTATGGAAATCTTCAATTTTTCTCATAACTAATGTAAATCGAGGTTCGCATTCAATCATCAGATTATCTCAAAAGCGAGATGCTGGGTTTCTTTCGGAAAGAAAGCACCTTTAATGATCGGCATCAAAAAGGAATCTAATTCTGGTAAACCGAAATATCTATTCTAAAATCATCGCACTGACAAGTTTTCTTTTTAAAACCTTTGAAACAAGTTTGATATTTCGCCATAGCCTTCGAGCACCCGTGTGCAATGACGGGTTTCGCATTTAAACGATTGTAGCCTGGAATAACGACGCTGAGGACAATTAACAAGGGAAATGGCGGAAACCTCCAACACAATATTATCAGTACCCCCTTCCCCCCCACTAAAAGAGAAAGTCCGTGTGAAATACAATCGACTATATAAGAAATGAAATTAGACACCGTGAGTGACGAAATTGGAGATCAGTGTTAAAACGCGTGCATTGCGACATGAATTAAACAGGGTCTCGACTTTCAAGGTAAACAGGTTTGCGCAGGTTTGCACAGTCCAAGCGAATGAAGAAACACATGTTTTCAAAAAGACACGTGATTTGAGGCAAAGCCTAATATCTGTAGCATGTGCTAGGACGATGCTCTCTCAAATATATTTCAGAAACCTCGCAAATACTTTGACCTCTCCAGTTTCTCTTCCTCTTGTTTTTTAAGCCGTTTTACAAGTGAGTGACCCACTCCATGATACTGAGAGGAACGATTTTCTTTCCATTATTTGCGGCGAATACAATCGAAGACAGTTTTTCTTCTTCCCCCTTTTACTCAATCAACGCTTGTTAGTTACATATTTATGTGCGTGGGGCCAAAGCCTGGAAAACCATTTTCAGACCCGGCCTCTAAAATCCGTATCCGTTTTCAGACCTGGCCTCGGAAAATTCTACTTGGTTTGCGAATGCACCACCTTGTCTAAGTGAAGTCAACATATTATGTAAACAGTCTATCAATTTGGAGGCATAAGTATTTGAATCTGAGAATTGTCTCAACAACGAAATTCTAGACTTAGGAAGCTGCATATGGATGTGTGGCGTTATGAAGCCGTGGAGCATATAGTTTTCCGTCCGCTGATGCAATGACGAATAGCAAAATAGAAAGTGCTAAAATTCATTGGCAACTTCAGCTCGTAGAAATATTTGGTAACTCCTCTCTCTCCATTATTCATTTGGAGTTGAAAGGCAACTGTATAAGACCGTACTCTCTTAGAAAGCACATGAGCTTAAATGAAAGACCCCCGGAGCTACCAGAGCATTTTGATACGATACGCTGCATCCTGCGGTGTTACCACAGCTAAAAAAGATAGGCTGAGAAGCGGGTCAAGATTCTGGTGTAAGCCTAATTTCATTTGCTATCGATTCTTGTGCAACGCGAGAGTTCCAGTTTTCCTTAGTCACAGTACGTTTTAGCCAGAAACACGTGAATCATATTCACGTGTAGGCACATCCCAATATATGACAAACTTTTTCTCACAAAAATATGGGTGGTATTATAACCGGTATCATAAACAAATGATTTCGTGTAATGGCTTCCGAAGTAGTTTTCAAACTGATATGGGGTTGTTTAATTTTTCACGTCATAGAAAGTTTCAAATTTTTCGTCAGTATTACTATTTTAATTTCATCCTTGATACTAGGAAAACACTGAGTAACAGAACTTACTTACATTTGAGTTTCAGGAAGTTTATCCCGCCTGCTATGTTGTTTTGCTGTCGTCGTGAAATGATAAAAAAGAGGTAAATTCAAGAAATTTGGTTATGTGCCGGATGTGCCCGTCGATACTTGACAGACGTTAAATCTTAAAAATACCCTGACTGGTTTTGCAAATGTGTCTCTAATTATCTGCGTCAAACATTTAAATTGTTCAACGGTTTTGTTATGATTCAATTTACCCCTGGCGAGAGGGTTTCGGCTTCCGGTTTGTACATAATTGTGACACTCGTTATTTTAAATATATCTAACAGCACAATGCACCTTGATTTTTACTGTTTTAAAAGCTGCAAACATGTTCCTAACTTCGTTAAGAATTATCCGTCGATTTCACTGCGAGAGAAAGCTGAAAAACTGAATTTAGATAAAAGGGCTCAAAGTTCGAGACCGCTTTTCAAATGTATGGTTACGCTACAAATTAAAACTTACTAGACTCACTGAACTTAAAAAATTCAGTTTAGTTAAAGCAGTGAATCGTGAAAGTCGCCTTTTTCCTAATGATTATACTAGTGGCTCATGTAGAACAAAATTGTCTGTAAGCTTCTCGATATTGAATTGGACCAATGTTCTGGGGCAGGCGAAAATAAAAATGCAATCAGAAAACCCCCGCCTTAGAGGAGAAATACTTCAGCAAAATGATAAACACCTAATAATCCTAAATTTTTCTGTTTCCTGTTTTGCTGAAACTCAAAAAAGAAGACCTTGCAAAATAACTATTTCCTGGCACAAAGCTGGATATGCACGAGTGGGACATAAGTTAGTCTAAACAGTTGAAAATGACTTTTTGTGCATAATGTTTCTTTTGTTCAGGTGTTCCGGCAGCAGGTGCGTGGAACAGTATTAATACAACCTAAAAGAAAAATTTCCCACCAGACGTAGAAACCAAGGGGTTTCCTAGGGCCTTGAGAGACAAAGAAATGTATGTAAAGAATATTCCCCAGTAACTATAACTAACAAGTGAGTATGCTATACAGTGACTGTTATTTAATACGAAGAACAATTTAGTGGCTACCTAATGTGACATGCGAGTAGACTTCCTATCCTCTAGGATTTTGACGACGTAACGCATTCTAAACATTTATAGCACAAAATATAAAGAATACAAGTGAAATAAGGCTCCTTGAAGGAAACCTGCTTAGTAAATTTCGGAAGGAATGAGATCCCTGAGCACGATGGAAAGGTCAGGTATAATACTTACGAAATTTCTACGGCTTTCCTGCAATCTGATTGGCTGTATTTCCCATGGCATAGTATGAATCATGTCATCCGATTCTGTTCTGATCTGATCTTCTGGGGTCTCGTTGATAGTGCTACGCGTGGTTGTTTATCGCTAAGGACACTTCACTGGCTTGGTTTGTATTCTCTCCTTCCTTCACACGCGCCATATGTGATCAATGCGTTTGTCGATTAATTGCGTTTGATGTAATACTACAAAATAAATGAACGATAAAGCTCTTACTCGTAGGTCTAAGATAACAGCAAAATTTTTGCCCATTTCCCGTATTTTTCATGTAGCGTATTCGTCATTGTTCCTATGGCGGTTTTGAAAAGTACAACACAACTCGAAAAAAATACGTGTTACACAATCGAACAAGGTGCACATATGTTGCAACATATTGTGCGCCATATGTGATCGACGTACAGATTAACGTCAAATAGATATCACTTTCGATAAAATACCTGAAAACATCCTTTCAATGTTAGAATAAAACTGGAAAGACGAACTTTTCGCAATGAATAATCTGGTTTATTTCACCATGGCTCTTAAGCTAAAGCATCAGTTTTATTGCCTTTTAATCATCTAAAATCGCTCACATAACGGAAAATAGCGGAAACACCATTTTTATACCCTGTCTTCATTCTGATTTAATGCCCAGTGCGAATGCAAATTATCACCTAATAGGAAGCATCAGTGCCAGCAAATCAGATTCAGAAATTAACAGAAGCCTGTATATAACGCTTTTATTTTCTTTCGCAGACTTTAAAAGCCTCCGTCTCCTTAAACGATTTCTCAGCATGCAGTGGAGTGTGTTAGCTATTAAATTTAACGGGGGCATTTAATCAAGGTGTCTTCCTTTAGCGCATATTTAGGCAAATTCTGCGAGAAATCTTGGGAACAACATTCTGCTCCATAGCGAAAAACCAAAGGTGCGTTATGTGTTCACCTCTGTTCTTGCTTTATGATTTGACGTATGATTTATAAAGGAAAATTTTTTCCCCAAGATAACGAAGAGAAGTGTCTAACGATTATCCCTCATGTAAGCGGTTCGCGAAGTTTTGTAAGGAAATGAAGTAAAAGTTGGCTCGCCCCGGGTGACTCGGGTGGGCGAGTGACCCTTCTATCTGGAACAACTTTTCTCCATAAACAGGGCCTTAATTAGAATAATTGCTTCAGAATCTCCTCCTTTCCTCTTGTGTAGTTTAGTACCAAGGGATGTGCCGCAAGGGCTTTAGATTCAGTATCTTATAGAGTGATAAAAATTTATTCGCAACTTGGTTTCTAAAATAGCTAACTAAAACTTTTTATAACTGTTCTTTTTAAGCAGAGATTTTGGCTTCATAGGAGAAGGTGAACTGTTTGTGGGAAAACGTGCACACAAAAGAAAAGGCAATGGAAGAACTTGGGCCTCATGGGCACAGATCTTACTTACTTTATGGCGCCACTATGTTCGTCATTTTAACCCTTGGCCTCATTGGGAACTTCCTCACCCTTATTGTTCTTTTCCACCCGCAACATCGGACCAAGAGCATGACTCCGCTTATGGTAAACCTATGTGTTGCAGACCTACTGGTGTGTTTGTTTGGGTACACTGTGGCAGTGAACTACAACACGGCAGATTTTGCAAACACTGGCAGTGCCCCTGCCCTTTGCTACTGGCTTGCCTTTATCAACGCCGCCACAGGCCTGGCCTCCATCGGTACCTTGGCTGTCATGGCAATCATAACATACTTGGGTATCTCTAGAAATGAGATCGCTCAGCAGAACAGGATGACAGGAAAGGCAGAGATGCTGTTGCTTACTGGTAAGATATCCCTATTTGTTCTACGATTGAGAAAAAAAAAACCCAAAGAAAGCTTCTTTCCAACATAACACTGACATTCTATAGCTGAAAAAAGCGTTCCTCTTGATTCAACTGCCAAAATGTTTTCATCACCGAGCAGTTACTTTGCTACCCGAAAGGGATAATTTCAGTTGTTTGGTTTTTAACTCTGCGCCTCGTGAGTCCACAGCACTTTGACCACTACGATGAAGGAAATCGGTGTTGATAAGGGTACAGACCACGCTAAACCACCATTGATTTGTTAAACGCTCTTCGCTCTTCTGGCTGGCAGTTCATTTAGTTTCCGGCGCTTTGACTAGTTTATCGTACTTCTCGATTGGTTTCATGAGAATCAGCGACTTGATCACAAAGTAAGATTAAATTCATATTTCTCTCTGACAGACTTCACTCACATTTATATCATAAATGCAATAAACCACACTTTCTATCGGTTAACCGCGTAAAACACTACGCAGGATGTTGGGGAAACACGAGAAAAGTCTGTAAACCACGAGGCGACTTTTCGTATTCTCCCAGCTTCCCGCGTGGTTTATTAGCCCATAAATCGATAGAAAGTGTGTTTTGTTGCTTAAATTATAACCACTTTATCATTATCAAATAAATACAGCGTCCGGGTCTTGGGGTGCAAAAAGCGTGCATGTTGCAAACTGTCTTCCTGATTTTTATTGTCGATAACAGGAGACCGTGTTGTCTCGGTCAAAATGATTATGGTGACCTCTAATATCGGTGTTTCCTCAGTTCTGATCGGAACGAACAGAATAGTTATAATTTCTAGGCTTGCCTTATCTACCACCAGGAATCTGGTTGTACGCGATTGTGTTGACGATTCCTCCGGCTATGGGCTGGAACAAATTTATTCCTATTCCTTCACGAGTAAGCTGCCATCCTGATTGGTATTCCCAGGACCTCAGCTCCAGGTCTTACATCATATATCTGGTAACGTTTGGCTTCTTTATCCCTTTGGTGATCATACTTGGGAGCTACGGAGGGATATACAGGTATTAGTGCGGAATGATAACAAAACGCGGGGGAGTTAAACTTGACTGCGTTTCCAGTTGAATGGCAATATAATTCAAACGCGACTTGATCTTGATGATTGACCGTTGATACATGCAATCTCTTGAAATTCTATCCTCTTGAAAATCCTTGAAAATCGTCTCTTGAAATCCTATCCTCAACAATGGTCAACAGGCGAATCTTTCCAAACAAGACACGGTCGCAAAGCAAAACTTTCCGAATGAAGTACGAAGTGTCGAGAGTAAAATAAGGAGACAAACGATTCAGCGAGCTTTACGTGACTCGGTCGTTCTAACCTATCAGAGTGATTTGCGCACGGAGCAGTTTATGTGTGTCTTAGAACTTAAAGCTCTCACTGGTCAACCAGTTCGTTAGCACTTTATATAAGCATAAGTGTTTTTGACTGATAGCAATTTAAGATAAGAGGCAGTGAATTCAACGAGTTTTCTTTTTTCTCAGAAAAGCACAGGATTATCTTCTTCCGCTAAAGTGTTACTGGCCGATGTAGCTGCCAATGTTTACATAAGACAATTGAATTTCTATTACTCCGCCAAAACCTTTAACTGTTCCCACGGTTTAGTTGCCCACCTCATGACCGTTTCATGGTACATTTTTTGAGTTGAGTGGTTCACAGAAACTTGGATTTTGTGTAGAGGAGCTTTCCTTTTTGGGATGACCTCGTACCTTCCTTGCGTCTGAATACACATGTAGGTAGGTATATATGTACAGAAGTAATTTTTTTGACGACTAAGCTGCATGTTGAGAGAAAGTAGATGAACTGTCTGCCATTTGAGTCTCAAAACAGCTAAGAAACATCTGATCGTACGACAAAAACAAACGAGAGTCTTCTCTGATTGTACTAAGGCTATTGACGGTGGATCAACGTAGTTGAGATAATCTCTTGCAGAGCCAATTAGAAATAAATTAAATACCATTTTATCTTTAGTTTTGACTTCTGACCAAATTCTTTGCATGATCTGTAAATAATTAACTGTGCAGATTACTTCCGATCCTGCGCATGACCGCGTCCTCTCCGTCATCGGTATCCGTCGATCTACTTTTTACTAATACAATACACAATACCCCTAAAACAGTAATCCCGAATATTGAATCACGCAAGTTTTCAAGACGATTTCTTATGAGGAAGGGGACGGAAATATTATTTCAACAAAAAGGATTCTGAATTAAGGCGTATCATTCCAATTGTAACTTTTTAGGGGTGAATTTAAATATGACAAAAATACTTTCAACCCTTTCCCTTTTTTTATTGCCAACATCTACTTGCGCGAAGAGCCTATAGTGAGTACTGTAAGCGCTTTTGGTCTTGCGGATAGGATTCCATGAGATGTGTGACGCGATCACAAGCAATAATGGTTAATCAACAAGATGGACTCGCGAGTAAAACTGTACTGTATATTTACCTGGAAAACACAGTCAAAGAAACTTAACTCCTCTGCTCTCTCTGAGATGATATGAAAGTTTTATGGCTTCTTTAGAAGAGCTGGTATGTCTGTGCCAATGAAGAGAAATAACTACCACGGATACTTATCATTTTCAAACCGAGGAAAGCCAACATACACACCTTCCCAGGAGATGCTTTTTAACAATTGTCCAATTTTGATTGACCATGAATTTGATTGAAGTTCATTTAGGAAAGAGCAATTCGTCACTTATTATCCCCTTAGTGGGCCAGAAATATGATTTATTCCATCTAAGATATTCGTATATACACGTGTGTTTGTTTTTGGAGACTTGTCAGTCGCAGTTTTTGGGAGGAAATTTCAAAAGAGAGCGCCAGTTGCATCGCTCTTTGTTCACATTGATGATGATATGATAAAGCTGCCGCAGTCATTATTTAAAGAATTTCTCTAAAAAAAATAAATTTTTTTGTCTCAGTCCTTAATTCCTTTACAGGAACCAAAGTATCACCGAACGCATGCAAACGTCAGGATGTCATAAAAATTGTCATAATTGTGTCAATAACAAAATGCGAGAAAGTCAGGAAAAAAAATGTGAAGCAAGAGCACTTATTCTTCTTTCTGATACTGAATAATAGTCATTGGATTGTTTGTCTTCAATTAGGACAGCTCAAGCTGCTCACATTTAAAGATGTTGTCTTAATTTTGATTTGCTAAAGTTGGCTGAGTTTTAATGGCTGATCGATGGTGGCTTAAAGAGCTTAAAATTATATCAGCTACTTTTTGCGATTTGGCTTGTCGCATTGAAAGTGTTTGCAATCGGACAGTTTGGACTTGAAACAGCCAATTAAGTCACAAAGAAGGGCTGTTTAGAATCCTCATATTCGAGCATTTTGCTAATGACGCAATTAAACGTGTAATGTCGATTAACCGAGTCTCCGTAATTGGTAGGTGCATTCGAAACAGCTCTGTGCCCGGGGCAAATGAAGATGCTAGGGTGCGGCAAATACGGTCTAGGAATAAAACCGTCCGCCTGGTGATTTCCATGACTTTGGCATATTTTGTAAGCTGGTCTCCGTACTGCATTGTCAGCCTGATCGGTACCGCAATCGGCCACGAAAGTGTCTCCCCTTCTTTGTCTCTGGTTCCTGAAATAATGGCAAAGGCTTCTGTGGTCTACAACCCGATCCTGTACGTGCTGCTTAACGCAAAGTTCCGAGTCACTCTGATACAGTTCTTTAGCTGGAGTCGTGTCGGTAATGTCATTTCTGAGAGCTCCAATGCTGATGAAAACACCACAGGGGTAATGGAAATACAAACAAACTCGCTACGCCATCGAGACATATAAAGTATGATACTACATCTGAGTAAATCAGACCAATACAATCACGGGTCAGACTGATTTTCTTCGTGAGCTCGTAGATTTCACTTTAAAACATTAATTTTTTCCACTACACGGTAGGTAGTAAAGTTGAGGTTCAGTAGTATAAACATTTATCGTCAATTACTATTTTCTGCCGCGCGTCTGACACTGAGATGGTCGCTCATAATACGCTCAAATAGGATCGATCTAAATATGCGAAGCAAAACAATTTATTTTGCATTATTTTAGAAAACCGAGATGGTTCTAACTGCTTTTAGACTAAGACAGATTCATGGGTAAAGTTTGAAAGAAACAGATTTTTTTGAACCGAAATGCACCGGACTGCTTTTGGAGAGAATTCTTGTTTATCTCATTAAATGTGTTAGGTTGGTTCGATTTTTCTGTATTTCATTGAAAGTAAAGCAACGCTTTGGGTTGATCAGGTTTTTTAACCGCAATCAAACTTAATTGATTGAAAAGGCATGGTTAGTCGTTTCCGCAGGCTTACTGAAGTCGACCGAGGGCTTCAGAAGCCACTCGCGACGCTAACTATTAACAAAAAACAAAGTGGTGAGTTACTCGCGCACTTTGGATACCTGAATAGGGATGATGCTTTTATAGGTGCACAAATCGCCGAAACTGAACAAATTACGCCAACTTCCTAAATTTGTGAACGAAAGAAGTTTGGTGATAATTAGTCTCACGGGTTAACACATTTTAACTGGAATTGCGTGGGGAAGTGATACATTGGGAAACTGTTACTGATTCAGCGTCAAGCAGTTGCGTTTGGAGACGGTTGGTCCCAGTTGAAGGCGATCTTAGGTTGTAGATTCGATTTTATTTCTTCCATAAGACTAGTTTTCATAGGGGTATTACTACTCTTAATCATGAGTGTGTGTGAAAACGATTTTTAGTTCTTAGGGGTACTTTTAAGGCTCCCAGTTTGCCGTTGTATGGCGTGTTGTCAATACTTGTGGGATAGAGCAAGACTACATTGTCAATTAAATACAAATTAGTACATGAAGTTCTGAATATTTGCTCCCAAAAACTCTGCGAAGCTTCTCTTTATTCTTCACTTCATTGATAAGCGATCATCGAAGTTTGCGAAAGCAAACTTCGGAAGCCGCAAGCGCAAGGGAAAGAGCTATCCTCATTCCCAGAGGAGATAGCGTCGGCAGGAACGAAAACGGGGTCGACGAATGCATTGGAAAGAGTTCCTAACTAGTTCGCTTATGCTAAATACTTTGACACTTAATTTTTGTGCTTTGTTCTTACTCTCTTACTTTTTCTTATCTTAAAAAGTGGAGATATTAAACCCTCATGACCCTCATCCCTTCGCACATGACTTGGTCATTGGCGCTAAACAAAAAATTTCCAAAAAAATAGAGAGCCGAGATTCTTAAAGCACTTTGATAAAATTCTCCAGTAAGACTGACGGATTGCCTTGATTATGAGATCTATTATTAAGATCTCATAATCAAGCCAAGCTTGATTAGCCATTAGCCCATTAGCTCTTTAGCCAGCTTCTAATAATTTATTTTCCAGCCCCCTTCACTTTATAAAATCTTAGCATTGGCTTCAAGGGAATTTAGGGACAAGTATTTAGGGACTATCCACGCAGGTTGGAGTTATGTGAATTATAAACAGATCATGTCAAAAAAGTTGTTCAATTTGAAAACTGTGAACAACAAACATTTAAACGCTAACCTTGTGGTTACCAACGTGCTTCTGAGCACAATCCAAAGACTCCTTTTCAATGCACGAATACAATTGGGACATTTCTTACATTCTGCAATGACTATCAATGTCAGAGGCAGATTGTACAGTTTCCAACGTTAGAAGGAAAATTATCGTAGCAAAAGCATATTCATCACAACCCAAGCATCAATTTACGTTTTACTGAGATGTTGTGCGAACAGAAAGTCGCTCCATGTTTTTAGAGGCAAGCCATTTCTTGCAGTTCGAACGAATCGAGTAGTAAGCAGGAAAACAGAGGACCACCACCAAACAATACAGTTAACTCTCTCGCAGTAGAAATAATTCTATGAAACCAGCGAGTTTGTTTGTATCACTTAAAAACTCAAATTACTGCGTCAAACTTACTTTTAAACATGAACATCGCTGACTCAACCTCATTTACATTTCAATTTTCGGAAAGACCATCAGATCAAACCTTAGGGTCAATTAAACCACGCATCTTCGACAACAGCGCGAATCTTTCAAATGAATCAATAATAAACCCTGCGGTAGTTAACTGAAGAGTAAATGATAGAAGCTCGTTAGCTCAATGACGAATTCCAAATAATTTTACGACAGTCATTTAATTTTTTGCCCGCATCAAAACGATGAGTTATGAACTGAAAATCATATCAAATGACGATTGACGATAAAAAATTGAATCTTCGTGGGCCTCAGCTTAACAAAAAACTCAGTTAAGACTCAACTTACCTCCTAGCCTTTTCCCGTCTTTTCTCGGCTCCTTTGTAGTTCCCTTTCTCTCTGTTGCGATCTGTTTTCTAGAGCTCTTCGTCTTTCCCCCTCACGTTGCTCCTAGTCAGAGTTTCACCTTTTTACCCAAGTTCTTTCTGGTTTTTTTCTCCTTCCTCTTCCTCGTGTTTCTGTCTAATTTGTCGAGTCCTTTCTCACTCACTTGCGCGTCGTTCGCAACTCGCTCTAGCTTTGGTTGAAGTCAAATAGTTGTTTTAGTACAAATGCTCTGGTGCTTTGAAATTCTGTTATAAGTTCGATAAATAAAAAAGCTTTGCGCTTATTTTGCTTCAATTGTGTGGATTACTCACATCAAGATAAACAGGCATTTTCATCAGGTTTATTTAATTCATTCAGCAAAAACTTTATGTCTTACTTTTGGACCTAGTTATAGTGACATCGCTCGACCTTATACACTAAATAAGGATGCGTCCCTTTGGGAGGATCCGGATTAGGATTTGTGATCCAAGATCACACAGATCACGCTGCATCAAAGTAACGGAGCTTTAGTTCATCAGATCAGTTACCATGACAGCAGGCGCGAAATTGTAGAGCGCGTCAGCGGAATCGCACGCTGAATTTAAAACGGAAACAAGATGGCCGTCGAGTAAAGAGCAGCTGTTGTTTCGTTAACAGAGGAACTATCCTATGATTCAATACTAAAAGAAGCAAGAAGTTGTGACGATGAAGAATTTCTGTTATTTCTTTCGATAAGGGAGAGGCAGAGCCATGTCCGCATTGAGAAATATTTCCACCGTATTAAACCACTCTACAGTGTTTCAGATTGTTTAAGTCATTTTCGGATGTCAAGAACTACAGTCGGCTGTTTGGAACGCCTGTTAGCTACTTGCCCAGGTCTGCCTCGTGGACAAAGGAATGGGGGGAGACCAAGCATTGACATATAGAAGCAAGTATTGATTACGATATGGATACTTGGGAACCCTGAATGCCTGCAATCAGTGGCCGATCGATTTAACATAACAAAATCGAGCGTATTTCGTGTTTATCGCAGAATTTGTGAAGCGATCGCCAACAATCTTTCCGGTCAATATATGAAGTACCTTTTAGCCTTGGAAATTTAGCACCGCTGGGAAAAATGACTAATTTCATATCTTTCGCCCAAAGGAACGCGTTGGATCAATGATCCAACGTTCCGCCTTCAGATCGAACAGATCAGTGATCCGATAAATCCTTGTCCAGAGTGGATTTAATAAATCACTGATCTTCTCTAATCACTAATCGACTTCATCGAACAGAATGCCGCGACACAGCCAATAGCGCTAAATTTGAATTCTCGTAATTGAAAACACGTGAAACAATAAAGAAAATGGCCAAAAACGGCCCAATGCCTTGTGTGTTTTACTAATTTTTACACAACTCAGCCCACTCAGCGATAAGGTACCCCCTGGCTTTTGTAGAAGAGGTGTTCAGCTTTTATTTAAGACGCTCATCCAAGTCGTTGGTCTTCGATAAGTTTAATCTAATTTATCTTGAAAATGCGGCCGTTTCGCTTAGCATTCGTATGGAATATGAACTGATTAGTATTCAGGTTGATTTTTTTCTCCACAAAAGTACTTCGTGACTTAGGTACCCTCTCGTAAAGTAAGTTTAAGTAAGTTTGATATCTCAACTAAGATTTGGCGGAATTTCGCGTTAATACGAGAGCCACAAGTGTCATAAAAAAGGATCATCCGAGTCTCCGAAAGCTACATCGAAATGTCCTAAAAGCCCTCGAAAGTTGTTCCTTTTGAACTCCGGCACTAACTCGGTCTCTATGCACCTATCAAGGAAACCGTTCCCTGGTTGTAGATCGCAGAAATTAACCTTTCTTTTAAGAATGCTGACAAGGATCATTTCAGGCGTTTACTATACTACAAACTATGGCACTGCGCTTACATGGAGGAAACCACTGAGAGTATCTGGGGAGCATGGAGCGACTTCTTTTTATCTGCTGTCGACGAGTGTATTCCAAGGCGCAGAATGAAGAGAAAAACAAAGGTGCCATAGATGGAAAAAGATCTACTAAACTATGCATGAAAAAGAAAGCGCGGTACAAAAAGGGAAAAAGATCCTCTTGTAGCTAACGCCAAGCCACAAGAGACTCGGGTAATTTCCCGAGTTTCTTAGTGCGCATTCCAAACACCCGTGTGCGGGCAAAGCGTGGTGCAAACGTCAGATTCAGAGTAGTCAAAGTTGTCTTGTTAGTTTCGGACTAAAATGGACCATCTTCTTAAGATTCCTCAAGATAAGACCGGTCCATTACCCTCGTTGCTGGACAAAGGTTTACGGTTCTTTCTGTATCCTGCTGAGGAAACTGAAGAATTTGTAATTCCGCTTGCTTGTATTCGTGAGTTGTTTAGATCGAATTTGGATCTATTTATCGTCGAAGGGTCACCAGTAACAACTCTTTTCATGACGATTAAATTAAGTATTGTAAATTCAACAAGTACGTGAAGAAAGAGTGCAACTCCGCACCAAGACAATATGTAAAAGATAAAAAGTACGAAAAAGTCTCTCTCATACTCGGTAAACTAATATCCCTTCACCTAAATTTTCCAACAATCGCTAGACTGTTCTCTCAAATAACTGTGTTAAGCGTTTGGCTAAAAGCAATCACTATTTCATCGGTGACTCTCGATAGATAGCTAAATAGATAGATATCTTTGTTAAAAATCACATGGCAGCCTAATAAGGCTGAATTGCATGATTATTTACATATGTCTGAGTGAAACGCTTGCTGCGCATTATTGGGTTAACAAACTGACGTTGATTTTTAAGATTATAAGTAATATGGTTCTTCGGTGGCAAAAAATGATGAAGCTTGTGCTCGGTATTAGACATTGTTGGTTTAAAAAATTTATTACATTGCTTGGTACGTCTATCTTTCAATAAGTTCAAGTTAAACAATGAATGGTTGTCGAGATATATTAGGCAAGGCGAGATTATAGATAGGGCGCGTTTTTGAACACGTTTTATGTCGTTACTTATATAATCAGGCAGTGCATGATGGTAAAGAGGAGCACAATATTCGAGTACAGGTCTAATGCAAGTAAGATAGAAACTAATGATATCACGAGCCGGAACTTTGGCGCGTTTAAGCTATTTGAGAAAGAACATCCGCTTATTAGCCTTTTTGAGTACGTCAGAAATATGACAGTTCCATTGTAGGGTGCTGGCTATTGTTACGCCTAACAGTTTAACACTGTTTACACGTTCAAGTTCCTTAGAGTTGACAGTAATTACATCAAACTGGTGTTGCGTTCTTTTAAAGTCAATCAGCAGTTCTTTACACTTATCTGGGTTCAGCTGAGGCTTGTTTGTGATAGACCATTGCTCCACAGCTGTAACAGCGACTAGCATTGCACTTTTCCACGCTTCGAAGCCAGGTGTGTGGAGATCATAGATCATCAGGATGAAGAGCCAGGGTCCAAGTTTGGTGCCTTGAGGCACTCCAAACGGAACGGGTCCCCATTCTGAGAAACA